GAATAATCCTTAAGTCTGAAGCAGTCTGTGTGCCCTTACCCAGTTATCTCACATTAATAAAATAACTCTTGATGCCCAGATTTTGTAAAGCCTTCCTGGTGTGCGACGGCCTAAGAGATAACTTTTATGTACAAGATAAAACAAAATTAACACTTAACATTAATACTTTATTTTTGACACCAGACCAAGACCAATGGAAAGTGTTGCACTTATTTCAGTTTTTTAATCCATCCTAATATATTGTGTCTGAATCTCTAAATTGGATGAAAAAGTAGTGGACTAAAATTTCACACAATATACCGTGAAACGTAGTGTGCATCAATGGTCACTAGACATGCAGTTATATCCCAGAACACTGAGTTCTCCTTGCAAAGCTTCATGGGATTTGTTCCAAAACCACACATTGGACTCAGTCCCTTAGAAAGATCGCATTGGTAGGACTCGTCTATCCAGAGGTAGTAAGTACCCTTGTTTCCTTGAATTCCCTTGTTTGCATATGCAGTGAGTGGGCAAGGTTTAGGGAAAGTGGCTCATAGCTCTGCTTCAACAGCAAGGTACATTCACCATCACCTCATGAGGGCTTAGTTTCCACAGTGTTTGTTTTTTTACGACCATATAATTCCTGATCGAGTGGTATGTGTGAGAGGTTAATGATCCCCTTGTTACCCTCTGTATACAAGACAGGACGCATGATGAAACCGAAACTTATCCCAATTCCGAAAATTCTTGCACAACTGAAAATTTTACCCATAAAGGGTAAAAAAATCATGCAGTGTATGCCAGTGTATGCCCGCCTTAAGCAGAGACTGGTTTGTCAATCCAAAAAGCACACTTGTTCTACCAACTTAGAATACACTTTGTGGGATGAATTTAAAGCTCTTCCCTTGTCCTAACCTTGCAAAGAAAGACTGAGGAAAAGCTGCTGCCTCCCATTAGCAGAGCCAGCCTCATGCTGATTAAGCTGATATTGCACAGGGCTGCTGCCTTCACCATTTTTTTTTTCATTTACACTCTGCTATGGATTGCCAGAGGAGGTCCAGAAGTAGATTCAAATAAATCCCAGGAATTTAAACTCCTCTCCAGGCAAGAACTCTTCTCTGACTTGAAGGCGGTAAGGGTCCTGTAAAATCTTTCCAATTTAGGTGGCGTATGCCTGACATCCCAGAATCTCCTAAAATGCTGGCATATGCTGAACTTTTTATGTATATTTTCAATTTTAGGCATATACATAGCGTATTCATAACAAGTCCAGAACTTATGTCCAACTACAGCCTAAGGCACATCAGCATAATGCCCATTAAAATGATGCACAAGCCAGTGTCCTAATGGGCACAGCGATGCAGTGGCCGGATGCGCCCAGCCTGCATAAAAAGATGTCTTTGATTGCTGTATTAACCCAGCTGTTGTTTACCGCCCGCCAAAACAATGATTATGTAAAACGAAAAAAGCAAAGGAAAGAAAGAAAGAAGGTTTGCGGTCACAGCTGTTCAGCATCATGTCTGCTAGGAAGATTATTGGTCGTGGGCATGAATGTAAGGGAGGATCCATTACAATCACCTTCTCTGTCACTCAGTCTATGATGGGGGATGCAGTCTGGAGGAGAACAGACAGTTTCCTCCTGTGAACCCTCTTTTATACCAAAACACTGCCAATACGCCATTATACAGTAGCTGTAAGTTAGAAACACGTTCAGTGTTCATATAAACTGTAATACTCCCCTCCATGTAATACAGTGTCCTGTCTGGCAATGTGGCAATAAGAATAATTGTCTTGATGCCAAAAAGAGAGCCAACAGATTTTGCTTTCACAAGTGGAGCAGTACTGCTATCGCCATAGTGTTCAGCTTGATATATATGTATATACATATATATATATATATATATATATATATATATATATAGCTTTATTATAATTCATGCAGAGAGTATTACAGATTTTATGGACACTGCAATGTAAGAAAAACAGGAAGCGACAAACAGAATAAAAGAGAAAAGATGAAAAAAAGAGGAGATAAAAGAGGAGATAAAAGGGAGATAACGATAAAACATCTTCAGTCTGCTTTGTCACCTGCAAAGACATGTAAAGTACCCTTGTTTGCTTGAATTCCCTTGTTTGCATATGCAGTGTGCAAGGTTTAGGGAAAGTGGCTTGTAGATGCTCATAGCTCTGCTTCAACAGCAGGGTACATTCACCATCACCTCACGAGGGCTTAGTAAATTTCCACAGTGTTTGGGTTTTTGCAGGGGGACCCAAAGCCCCAGATGCCCAAAGGGATCCCAACAGCAAAGCCATTTTCAAAGAACCTCGGTTGAGAAAGATGAGCTTCAATGACTGTCTGATACCGTAGCTCACTAAACATATATGCCAGAAAAAAAAATGATAGCTAACAGGATGACCAGCTAGCATTGCCACACGCAAATATATCACCAGAATGAATTACAATTAGGAGTACCGCTTCTTTAGATGATCCACCCGGACATAAAAGATTGTCCTTACACCTTAAATTAAATTTTACTATCTTTATTATTTGTATTTTTCGTGCCAGCTTATTCAGTCCATTTAAAGAATCTTGAGCTGATTTTATCAGTTGGAGAAACTCTGTTTAATTTTCTTAGATCATGCAAACCAAGACTAAATACCTGGTTTCTGTAAAGGGCTGTGAAGATACAACTGACAAGGTCCTTTTTGCTTGAAATATAATGTTGCAAGATTACTTCATAATATGCTTCCCCAAAATTTTTTTTTATTATGTTGAACTCTTGACTTAAGTCCTTTGCAAAATCTTGTTTCTGTTCAGATTCAACTGTTCTGATCTAGATTTCCTGTTTTATTTGGAATAAAAGTTTGAATGGTGGTGAGATTTCCCTGCTTTTATTCTCTAAAATCCTTTGGTACAATGACAAGTTTAGGTTCCACTTGCTGAGTCTTGTCATAACAAAAAAAGCCCAAATGATCTGTCCTTGGCCAATGTTCTATATAGTAGGCATGGGCTGATACACTCAACAGCTGCAGTTTATTGCAGATTGTTAAGTTGGTCTATAAACCATGAAATTAAATTTGGAGATTGGGGACCAATGTCCAGGGTGATATTAAAGAAGGAGTCAAACATTTTAATAAATTTGCTCTCATGTTGTTACTTACCATCAAAACTAGTTTTTAGATATTTAGACACTAATGATTAAAAATAAAGCGAAGAAAAAAGTTTCCAGAAGCCTGGCAAGCCGACATGGCAGATATATACACTGAAACGGATAGCACCAAGCAATATTTTTGAATCCTTCTCAAGTGAGTGTATTGACGATGACAAACAGAATCTAGTCGACAAACTGCAGCTGCTATCCCTTAAGTTGAGCTTGACACCTTATAGTAGGAGGAAAAGGAAGAGGAAAATTTAGCTATTTTTGAATGAAGAGGAGATAAGAATGAGATGGCTCTATTTATCTTCTCTTCTCTCTTATTAGCTCTTCACCTAATCTATAACTGTGATCATCGCTGTAAGACATGTAGTTTAATCTTACTGTTGGAGAACACTCTGCAACTTCTCCACAACCCCTCTTTCCCAGACTTTTTCCAAGACACTCCTACAGGGATATTTGAGTCTGCCCCGCAAGGTGCTTGAGGACAAAACATCCAACTCGAAAAAATTATCCCTTTTGCTCTGAGACTCTCCATCGCAGAAGGACATGTGCCAAGGACCAGAATCTGCAGACTGATCAAAGGCTCACCAGGCCTGGTGGCAAACCTCTGCACCTAATTGCTGCAAAAAGAGATCATCGGCAACATTCCTTTCCTGAATTACTGGAGACTTTTAACCCTTTCCCACTGACCAAAAAACAACTGACTTTTAGTGGCAGTGGGAACAGCTTGAGATTTGTGTCAAAAGACCCGGGTTTAAATCACCTTCAGATGGCTCTGCTCCAATCGGCATACAGTGGGAACATTAGACCCAGGACAACCCACTTATTAACGCGATACCGTTGAGCAGAACATGCGGACGTCAAAACACCATGCCAGTCCTGTCTGATGTAAAAAGAAGAAAAAACTCTGTTTACATGCAATACACATATCAATGGATTGGTAAGAGGGATTCGGACAGATATTGAAATAATACAGCACACTTACTACGTTGTGGCTCCCCCACAATTGTTTACTTTCCTGGATTCTGTTGCACTGGTGACATCATCAACGCTAACCCAGTGTGACATGCAGAGGTGGGGGGACAGAGGCTACGCAGGTTGCCTGGGGGTAGACCCGGCTTTTATGGGAAGAGACAAAAGCCGTCTGCTAGCCCGTTGGTGCGTGAGACTCACGCATCTCAGTAACTTCACACGCTCTAACTCCATATCCCCAATTTTTCATGCTAAAACAGACATTGAAACTCAACTCCATTTCACCTATTTAAATATAAAAATACGATGGTGATAAAAATCCTGT